TAACGAAGGTGTAGCCTCCAAACAGACGAAGTGAGAAACACCCAGCCACTGATGCCAACCCTTCCAGTGTAACCATCTCCCTCCCAAGCTCTGGAAGTAAGAGCACGTTGGCTATCGTTAATTGACGTGGCTTAGTTCAGAGAACCATGCTCAAAAGCAATAAATGTAGACGGTTAATAATCACCACAACTTCACAGGTGGCAACCACGAGAGCTCTGGAGACAAGCCACTGTCAGCCTGCCCCTCAGCTGGCCCCAGAGGAGGACTTCGACTCTCTTCAGCTCCTCTAGAAAATGGATGGGTCCCTTCTAGACAGATGAAGATTTGCATCTAGTTTGAATTAGCCACAAAATTCCAATCAAGCCAAAATGCAGTGGGGGTGAGAACAACTGAAAAGACTCAAGCTTGTATTGGGAAACTTGTTCCACTGCTACATCCAGTTGGCTCTTGGCCACTTGACTAGAGCTGCATTTCGAAGAAAGTAGTACAAAAGAAGTTTGAGACGGGAGTCCTACTTCTCCTTGACCCACAAAATGGAGCTCCCAACCATGGAGTCCAGAACCTTCATTTAATGAGAAAAGACTGAAGCCATCGTCAGTCAGCCCCAGTGACATCCTTCTATGTAAGGTGCCTGCTTTTAATCTTGTTTAACAGAGGTGGAATGGGGCTTCATGCAGGTTGGCCCAACTCCAAAGCCTGTGTTCTCAACCTCTGTGCGATACTTCTGCCCATGGAGTCTCTAGCTGATGGTCACAGGACAACACTGTAAACTGTTACACTTTTTGAAATGATTAGGGAGCAAAAGTGTTTAAAAGAGTTAGTGCTGAAATGGGGCTGCGAAATTATTTCCTCTAGCCCCCTTAATTCCAGAGGGAAAACCTGAACTTCTAGGGAATGAAGTTGCCTCTGCCAGCAGGCTAGGAATCGAGATGTAGTCCCCAGTTTTGTGAGGTCCTGATCTAGAGCTGTAAGTCACCTGCAGGAAAGGCAAGAACTGAGGAACACACATGATGATTAGGAAAAAAGTGTTTGGGAGAGGAAAGGATAAGAGGAGAGTCCCGGTGACAACTGTGACATGTTATGGGTGGAAGTGAGAACCCCCCCCATTTATATGTTAATGCCTTAACCCCCAGGACCTCAGAATATGACCTTACCTGGAGACAAAGTCTTTCCAGAAGTTCTCGTGTTAGAATGAAGTCATTATCGTGGACCCTAACCCAGTCTGTGCATGCGTGCGTGCTCAGTCGTGTACGACTCTTTGCGACTCCATGGACTGTAGCCCGCCAGGCTCCTCTGTCCATGGGATTCTCCAGGCAAGAGTACTGCAGTGGATGCCATTTGCTCCTCCAGGGACCGTCCCGAGCCAGGGATCGAACCCATGTCTCCTGCTCTGCAGGTGAATTCTTCACTGCTGAGCCATCAGGGAAGCCCATAATCCAGTTTGATTGATATCCTTATTAGGAGAAATCTGAACACGGGCATTTATGGAGGGAAAACCATACAAGGAGACACAGGGAGAAGACAGCTATTCCCAAGGTACAGAGGGAGGGCTGGAACAGATTCTCCCCACACAGCCTGCAGAGAGAACCAACCCAGCTAACACCTTGATCTTGAACATCTAGCCTCCAGATGTTGTTGTTGTTCAGTTGCTCAGTCGTGTCCGACTCTTTGCGACCTCATAGACTTCAGGACGCCAGGCTTCCCTGTCCTTCACCATCTCCCAGAGTTTACTCAAACTCATGTCATTTGAGTCAGTGATACCATCCAACCATCTTGTCCTGCCTTCAATCTTTCCCAGCATCAGGGTCTTTTTCAATGAGTTGGCTCTTTACATCAGGTGGCCAAAGTGTTGGAGTTTCAGTTTCAGTATCAGTCCTTCCAGTGAATATTCAGGGCTGATTTCCTTTAGGATGGACTGGTTGGATCTCCTTGCAGTCCAAGAGACTCTCAAGAGTCTTCTCCAACAACACAGTTCAAAAGCATCAATTTTTCGGTGCTCAGCTTTCTTTATAGTACAGCTCTCGCACCCATACATGACTACTGGAAAAACCATAGCTTTGACTAGATGGACCTTTGTTGGCAAAGTAATGTCTCTGCTTTTTAATATGTTGTCTAGGTTTGTCATAGTTTTTCTTCCAAGGAGCAAGCATCTTCTAATTTCATAGCTGCAGGCACCATCTGCAGTGATTTTGGAGCCCAAGAAAATAAACTCTCACTGTTTCCACTGTTTCCCCATCTATTTGCCATGAAGTGATGGGACCACATGCCAGGATCTTCACTTTTTGAATGTTGAGTTTTAAGCCAGCTTTTTTACTCTCCTCTTTCATCTTCATCAAGAGGCTCTTTAGATCCTCTTTGCTTTCTGCCATAAGGGTGGTGTCATCTGCATATCTGAAGTTATTGATATTCTCCCAGCAATCTTTGATTCCAGCTTGTGATTCTTCCAGCTTGACATTTCACATGATGTACTCTGCATAGAAGTTAAATAAGCAGAGTGACAATATACAGTATCCTCCTTTCCCAATTTGGAACCAGTCCATCGTTCCATGTCTGTTTCTAACTGTTACGTCTTAATCTGCATACAGGTTTCTCACGAGGCAGGTAAGATGGTCTGGTAGTCCCATTTCTTTAACAATTTCCCACAGTTTGTTGTGATCTACACAGTCAAAGGCTCTGGCATAGTCAATGATGCAGAAGCAGGTGTTTTTCTGGAATTCTCTTGCTATTTTGATGATCCATTGGATGTTGGCAATTTGATCTCTGGTTCCTCTGCCTTTTCTAAATCCAGCTTGAACATCTGGAAGTTCTAAGTTCACTTACTGTTGAAGCCTAGCTTGAAGGATTTTTGAGCATTACCATGCTTGCCTGTGAGAGGAGTGCAGTTGTGTGGTAGTTTGAGCATTCTTTGGCATTGCCTTTCTTTGGGATTAGAATGAAAACTGACCTTTTCCAGTCCTGTGGCTGCTGCTGAGTGTCCCAAATTTGCTGGCATATCAAGTGCAGCACTTTAACAGCATCATCTTTCAGGATTTGAAATAGCTCAGCTGGAATTTCATCACCTCCACTAACTTTGTTCACAGTGATACTTCTTAAGGCCCACTTGACTTTGCACTCAAGGATGTCTGGCTCTAGGTGAGTGATCACACCATCGTGGTTATCTTTGCCTTTAAGATCTTGTTTGTATAGTTCTTCTCCAGAGCTGTAAGATAGTACATTTCTGTTGTTTAAGTCACCCAGTTTGTGGCACTCAATTGTGGCTGCCCTGGCAAACTAGTACACCACAGACCTTGGGAAGCATCTGAAGAGTCACCGGGCCTGGAGGACTGGCTGGAGACATCAGGAGAGAAGAGAGGGACTGAAATGATGAAATCACAGGTAAGGAGAAGGAGACCTGGACAGAGATCTAAATCCAGAATTAGCCAGGTGGAAATAAAGAAAAATGAAAGTAGAGTCCACTGTTCGTTTTAAATGGAGAGTCTAGAGCTAGCAGATCTAACTGGAGAAGAGAGCCTAGGAGAAGCAAGCTGTTGGCAAGGCCACTGGAGTGTGGGCTGCCTCACCATCGCCACACCACGTGCAGGAGATGAGTGCCGCTGCCACAGCCGGTGCTCTGAGCCAGTGAGAGGGGCCCAGGGGAGGGCCTTAGGGTATCATCATGGCCTCGGCCTGAGTGCTTGAGGCCTCAGCCAGCACAAGTTCACCTGAGCAGAAGTACCTGTACACTTCCCCGGACTGCTATGGATGCACTCCGGAAGCAGACTGTCTAAGTTCCCACATAATTTTGCCTTCCCTAGCATTCAACCTCTCTGGGCCTCATCTGTGAAAAAGAAATAGAGACTGCACCCACTTCATAAGGTTATGATGAAGATTCAATAAGATAATTTGTGTGAAATGTTTCAGTAGAGGTTATCTGTCATTATTAGAGGCGTTTATTCTAATTCTTCTCATGCCTCCAATTCAAAGCAGTACTAGACCAGAGTCCTCCATCCACCACTGGGCTCAAGAGCCACTGTAACTAGGACCCTGGTATTAGAGGATAAAGCTACTGGCAGGCCTAAGGAGCTAAGAGGAAAAATACCATTTGGACCAGGAGCCTGAAAAAAACTGCGCTGGGCTCTGGAAGACCCCAATGGACATCGCATGCACGCAGACAGAAGCCCTCAAAACCGCAGGGCCAGGGCTGAGCCGCGAACGGGCCCTAGAACTTGGCAGGTGGACACTGTCCTTGAATGGTGTCGAGCCTGCGCTCTGATCCAACTATCCTGAGGCACATCTGTCCTGTTGGTCTCATGTCCAGCGCTCTGCAGAAGTCCAGAGCAGGGCCTTTCCAGGCCAGGGACTGTGGCGAAAGGTGGGGGTGGGGGTGAAACCAGGTTAAAAGGATCACGCATAGGAAAGGAGAGCCTCAGAACCCCCAGGGCTCCTCCCTGCAGATGCCCCGCCCCAAGGAGTCAGAGGGCCTGTGGTTGAAGGTGGAATACGCGAAAGGGCGTGTCCCGCCCCCCTTGGCACTGCAGACTTCTGAGCCACCACAATTTACTCTTTGCCCTTCCTCGGACTCCTTGTGAAATCCTGGGCATTCCGGACTCCTGGAGTTGTGCGTTCGTCCCCCGCGGTGCCCCAGGCTTCTACCAGCCGGCGGGCACGCGCTCGCCCGGACCGCAGGGCGGGCGCGCGGCGGCGGGGCCACTGTGGGGGCGGGGCCCGAGTGGGGCCGGGGCGGGGCCGGGGGCGGGGCCCGAGGCGGGGCGGGCGGGGCCCGCGCTCTGGCCTCAGCCCGGCTCCTAGGCTGCAGCGAGCGGCTGGGGAGCAGCCAGCTCTGGGAAGCGGCGGCGGCGCCCTTAAATAGCATCGGGACCGGGCCGGGTCCGGCAGTGGGCTGCAGTGACAGCAGGCGGCGGACGGCCGGGCCTGCGGAGGAGGTGAGTGCTCCTTCTGGCGGGGGGCAGCCGCATCCGTACCCGCTGCGGCGCCGCCCGGGGCTCGGCTAGGGCTCGGGTCTAAGGCTGCCCCGCCACCCGGAGCCCGGGAGGTGGCGGCCGCAGCGGAGACGCGAGAATCCGCCCTCGGATCGCAGCGACGTTCCGCTTTTCCGGCCTCTGCCCGGCGGCTCGCCGAGTTCCCTCCGCCGCGGAGGCCTCCAAGCCACCCGATCCTCCGCCGCTTCCTGTGCAAGAGAGCCGGCGATGCCCACCCGCCTCTCCCCCTGGCGGCGCGGGCGCGGGGCTGGTGCACGGCGGGGTGCGGGTGACGCGCGCCGCGGACCTGCGTCCTTGTTTGTGTGGCGGCGAGGACCGCCCAGCGGGAAGCCGGACCCGAAGCTGCAGATTCAGGGCGATGTTCGCCGCGGGGCCGTGTCGACGCTCTCTGGGTTGCGGCCTCCCTCTTGCCCCTCCGAGGCGGGTTGGGGGCATGCTCGGATCGCGCGTGGAAGCATCAGAGCCTCGGCGTGAAGGGTGGTCCCTGCGTACCGCGCCCGCGGGAGGGTCAAAGGCAGCACCCGAAGCCGGTGGCCACATGTGGAAATTCTCGCGGTGCCTGCAGAGGAGTACCACAGCTGCTGTACATGGCCGGGATGGAGTCACTTTAAAGAGCCTGGCATGTTTTGAAATTAGGAAGTAAAAATCATGATATCTATCGCCTTGCAGCCTAGACGGAGCGTGGTTGAACACGTGGACGAGAACACAGAGACAGATGCTCCTCTTAATCAGTGTGTAGGCTAGAATTTGCAAACCCCTTCCCCACCCTACCCGCTTTCAAGGTTATGGCACTTAATTAATACCGTTATAATAGTGCCCTTGCCTTTGAAAGTTCAAACATTTAAGCTTCTTGTTGGTGCAGGTGTGTGTAAAGTGCCCCAACTTTAATATCCTTTTATTTTTTACCTTTGCTTAGCATGAGAGAAATTGGTTAATTTCATAATTCTGACAAATAATTCATAATTCTGAAAAACTTCACCTGTGATTATTATCTCCTAAACAATTATTTGCTTAACACTTACAAACTAAAAGCTAGTCGGTACCTCCAGCTTGATTCAGCTTTTTCAGACTGAGATGGCAGGTTGAATTGGCTTAAAACTTAAGATTTGAGTTGACTGTCTGGTTGGATGGGCTTGAGAAGGTGGGACCTTTAAAGTAACCTTCCTTTCTCATCAGTGTGGAGCCAAGTCCTGGGTAATGTTCATTCTTGATCTGATTCAACTGGGGGAATCCCTTCTCAGGCTGAAACTTGACTCCTCATGTGGGAGAAGGTGCATTAGACTAAAGTCTTTCAGAAACTAAAATTCTGTGACTGAAAAAAGCAAACCCTGAAGAGTAACCCACTTCATATCTCCCTCCCTCACTTCAGATAGACACATCATAGACCTTGTGTTATAGACCTGTTTTCAGCATTTGCTGTAAATTGAAAAGACTTTTAAAATCACCCTTCTCTCACAGTTATTAGCATGTTGACCTATTTCCTTCCTGTCTCTGTTAAGCATAGTTCGGCAGTATTTTTTATTATTGTGGGTAACCTGACTAGAAAGAATCTCTGGGCTTTTAAATTTGGGGCATTTAAGAGAGCGATACTTGTGACAAATGCAGGTAAAGAAAGGTCTCTATTTATATCATACAGGTCAAGTTCTCATAACTATCACAGCTTTTGGTTGAGCTTGGGTATAGCTGACCATGTGCCCGCATGCCACAGTGTCCTGCTTGATGTCCAGGGCAGGCTGCATCTTTGGTTTTGATGTAGCTGTCTTGTGGAAGTTTGGAGGAGGGGATGGGGAAAGATTATGTTGTTTTGTCATTACAGCTGGGGATGTCTCCTTTCTCCCTTCAAGTTTCCCTTTTCTGGAAAGAGCAAGACTGTAGGAATAAGTAGTCATTTCTAGCCTTGGAAGGATAGAATAACTTTTTAAGGTCAGTTTATGAATTTATTGTGCAAATTTGCCACCTATGTCCTTTTGCATTTACTCTCATAACCAAATTCTGTCAACGGTGACAGAATTAATCATGCTTCGTGAACAGATTTATTTGGATGATGCAATGGTTTAGGCTCCTGTGTTCAAAAATACAAATATTTTTTTGGGATATCCCTTAAGGCAGCTCAGAGCTGTAGGTACCCGAAATCTGCTTCAATCTCTGCTCTTTGACAGGCCACGGCCAGTAAGGAGGGAGATCAGAGGTGCCCATTTTTGTTGAAGGTAAACTGTCCAACTTGGTGTTCAGACAAACACATTAGAGTCATTTTGCTTTGACACTCATTTCTGGAGATCAAGTCTCAGTGAACAGAGCTAATCTGAAGCTGCCAGTGGTTGAGTGTGAGTTTCAATATTCTAGTCCTAACGGGAGCTTTGGGGAGCTTTTAAACAAATTCATAGCTGGATTTGATGAACTGGAAAGTGGAGGCAGGCTCACCAGTGCTGTGTCCCCAGCTCGATGTCATTTCCTCTCCCATTCGTCTCCTAAAATGCTGAATGCGAACCCTTTTAAGAATTCCTAGTTTGTGGAGCTTGAGGTGATACATAATTTGGACCACGTGACAGGAGAAACTGGTCACGTAATTTGCGTCATCTTCATCTGTCTGCTTTTTCACACGCTAACATTTAGAAGTTCTTCACTGTGGGCTTCCCTGATAGCTCAGTTGGTAAAGAATGCACCTGCAATGCAGGAGACCCCAGTTTGATTCCTGGGTGGAGAAGATAGGCTGGAGAAGGGAAAAGCTACCCACGCCAGTATTCTGGCCTGGGTCCAAAGATTTGGATGCAACGGAGTGACTTTCACTTTTCACTTTCACTGTGTTGGAGAGGACACAGTTATTAGTGGTCACTTTTATAGAATCAAGAGGGGAGGGTGAAATAGGAAGAATCCTTCCCAGAAATTTAGCTAGCTTAGAGGGATGGCACATTCTTCGGACAAAAACTTAGCTGGAGGTGAGGACTTTGCTCCCATGTGCTTCCTCCTGCCAAAGAATACATTCAGTTGGAGGCCAGTTCTGTCCCCAGTATCTAAGATTTCAGGACTGTTGGCTCCATATAGTTGTCGAGATGTAAATAAAAATTTGAAAGCTGTCTAGTATCTTATAACTCAAAAACCATTTGCCTCAGAAAACCTATATAAGTAAAATTGTGTGTTTATATAAATACAGTATGTAATTATGTGGTGTATAATTTATATAGCATATCCATTTAATATTATAATAGAAATCTATACTTGTTGTGGAAAATTTAAAACTATATAAAATAAATCTAGGAGTTCCCTGGTGGTTTAGTTGGTTTAGGATTCTGGCTTTCACTGCTGTGGCCTGGGTTCAATCCCTGGTTGAGGAACTAGATCCTGCAGGCTGCTTTTGCTTTTGCGTTGAAGATAATATTTTCGATCATTTGACTTTAATGACCTAAGTTATATTGTGGACACTTTCTTCATGTTGTTACATACTCTTGAAAAAAATGAGTTTTGAAGATAACTGTCTTATATAGTTTATGCAATATGCTATAAATAATTTATATTTCCCCTATTATTGGACATTTAGAGCAGTTCACTAAATATCTTATATATTTCAGTATGTCTTTTTTTTTTTTTTAAGTTAGGGAATATTCTGCTTTAAAGGGGCTTCCCTGGCGGCTCAGATGGTGAAGAATCTGCCTGCTAATGCAAGAGACCTGGGTTTGATCCCTGGGTTGGGAAGATCCCCTGGAGAAGGGAAAGGCTACCCACTCCAGTATTCTGGCCTGGGAAATCCCATGGACAGAGGAGCCTGACGGGCTACAGTCCATGGGGTTGCAAACAGTTGGTCATGACTGAGCAACTAACACTTTCACTTTCACTGCTTTAAAACTGTTGAAATTGACCATGATTTGGAAATTATTTTTTTATTACTACGTGGTTTTAATGAACCATGGGTTCACGTGTTTCAGTCAAAAACTGTTGAAATAAGGATTCATGCTTTGGAAAGATAAGTGGAAAGAAGTTAGGGCATCACAGGGGGAATTGTGGGCTGCCTTTTAGACCATTTCCTCATTTGGGAGGGACTTCCAATAAATGTATTATCTGTCCATTGGCACACTTTCTTGGCTGCTATAGAAATTGGCACTTTCCCCACAGGTTTGTTGTGAGGAAAATGTCCATATACATAAGGCCAAAATGCCTTGAGTACTATTTATTCTTTTGTTAACCAGAGTAAATAGAAAGTTGCTACAGGAGCTCCCTTCCCACCAGGCTCAGCTGTCAACTATGAAGCAGGGCAGTGTTAGCTGAGCAAACAGGATGAGGGGTCATACAGCCAACAGCACCAGGCTCTGCTCTTGGTGCTTCAGAGCTGTTAACCCAGTTCATCGTCCCAGCTACCCTATAAAGTAGTCCTACATATATCCATATCTGATGAAAGGTGGAAAGGAACAGACACAGAGATTAAGTCTCCCACACCAGGGCTTGAACCTCGGCAGTCTGGTTTCAGGGCCAGAGTGCCTACTGACTTGGCTCTTCTTCTTGAACTTGGGATCTTAGTCTAGCGGGGGGCGCCCTGGAAAGTTCCAGGTTATCAGCTGGTGGCAAGACTGAGGACAGAGCTGGTTCTTCCCTGGCCTTGCTCCTTGGCTGTCCCCTGTCCTGTTCACACATTGCCTTCACCATCAGCAGGCTGAAACAGCGACGGATTTTGATTCCGTTCCGTTCGGCCAGTGATAAGATCACCTGCTACACAGCTGTGACTTTTTTAGAGAATTAGAGAGCAAAAGGCTTTGCCTGCCCTAGAAGTTGGTCCTGTTCTAGATTGTGCTGGAAACCTTTAAATATTTTGCGGAGTTTGAAGGCACAGAGATATTGTCTATCAGTTATGGCCTCCTTTCCCCAAGACAATTTTAGGCAGGACCCCAGTATATGAAATAAATAAAAACAGGGCTGCCGTGGTTGAAAGAGGGCAGGGTGGGAGTCCCAGGTCACATAAACTGGAGATACAGTTGCTTCCTGGCCTCGGAGACACTCCAGCACCCCCCTGGCTCCCCGGGTCTCTGAGGGAGCCTAACTCACTCATCCCCTGACAGAGCACCTGGTACCAGGGTCAGAGTGACTTCCAAGGTTGCGTAAGCTGTGTTCCCCTCAGGCCATTACAAACAGTGGAGTTTGTTCCCGGGCCCTGCGCCAATTGGAGGAATGGCCGGACCTTGGTGTCATCCTTGACTTGTGCCCTGAGACCCAGCCAGTCGGCGTTTTCTGTTATCTGTACCATACTGCCCAGTACTTGTGCATTCCCTCCTTTCCTTGTCCAGGTTGCCACCCTCATCCACAGTCTGTCACCTCTAGTTTATAAAACAAGGGTGCTTAGTTTAAAAAAAAAAAAATGATGGTGACGCTTCCTAACACAGAGTTCTGATCAGATCCCTCCTCTGCCCAGAAGCCTTCCAGGGTCCCTCTGGAAGGTCCCAAGTTTTCAGGTAGCTTGGCTCTTGGGGGCTTCTGGAGTCCAGTTCGGACCTGCTGTCTCCCGTGAGTCTGCCAGACGGCCACATGCTGGGACTTTGGGAAAGAGGCTCTGGTGG